GTGTTAGTTGGTCATTTGGTTAGCTGAAAAAACATATATAATTTTTTAATACACTCTTTTCTACGGCGTCTCTCACTTAGAAGACTGAAATGAGAAACCCAACCTCAGTAAAATGCAATTATTAAGCACCATTGTGTTGTTTTGATGTAGTGGAACTTCATAATGATAAATTACTTAAAAAGGAAAACCTACTGTTGTCTGCTTGCCAAAGTGGGGAGGAAATCTAGAATACTTCCTGTCTCTCTGTGGCAGATTTCAAGCAGAAAAATGTGTTTTGAATCTGGGAAGAGGAAAGGGGTCTCCATCCATGAGTTTTGCGCACCGTAGCTGGGGTGTTTTTGTGTTGTAATTTATATTTCGCATTGCAGAGGACCTTGAGGTGGGTTCAAAGAATTTGTTTTTTAAAAAATCATTGAGCCTTTAGTTGTTCGTCCTATTTTGTGAGCATGTAGAACAAAAGGCTTGGTTCTGTGCAGCTCTTCTCGTGAGCGCGCGTGGTCTGTAAGCAGAGCCCCTGCAAAGCTGCATGGCCTTCGGCAAGGTGTTCAAGCCTCTCTGCCTGAAGTCTGGAGCTGCGCCGATCTGAAGCCAGGAGCCAGGAGCTTCTTCCGGGTGTCCCTCGCGGGTGCAGGGGCCCAAGGACTTGGGCCATCTTCTACTGCTTTCCCAGGCCATAGCAGAGAGCTGGACCGGAAGTGGAGCAGCCGGGACTAGAACTAGTGCCCATATGGGATGCCGGCACTGCAGGCGGTGGCTTCACCCACTAAGCCACAGCTCTGACCCCAGGGACGTGGGTCTCTCAGTGTGAGCAGAGGAAGGGCTCAGGACCTCCCACTTAGCAGGGATGCCTTGGACGTTGTAAATAATCACTTTCAGAACCCTAGCCCGGATGTCTCCCTGGAGCAAACCACTTCCTTTCCAAACATGAATTTCGTGGAAGAGAATAAACATTTTCAGATAGCTGGGAAGGGGCAGGGCTCCATATAAGGGTGGAAGCCGAGGCCTCTCGTCGCCAGATGCCAAATTCCTGAAAGCTCTGTCTCTGAAAACAAGTCTTTCAACGACATGAAAGCAAATTGTCGGATCATGACAAAAAATGGGGATTTTTACTGACGTCTACTAAATATTGTGGCTACACCTTCAGAGAAGGAAAGGCTGTGCTTATAACACTAAAAAGATTAAAAAAAAAAAAGCAGCCTGCACTAGGCTGGGGGATGCAGACCCTGTGTTCATTCTGAGTTCTGTGGCTGCTGAGCTCTGTGAAGTGACCTTGGGTGCCCTTGACCACTGGGTTGAACTGGACAGGCTGTGCAATTTCTTCCAGCTCAGACTATGCATGACCTCATAAAATAAAAGAGACGCACTGTATCCAGCTGACCACAGGAACCCCTGGGATCTTAGGAAAGGAACTTTCTGCAGAGAGATCCTGAGACCCCGCAGGGAGCTCAGAGAATCCAAGGAGAGGCTGGAGAAGCGGGCTCGGGCCCCGGGGCTCATGGCGGGGGTAGGGGACATCCTGGGGGTCTACAAGCAGAACCAGATCCACTTTGCTCCTGGAATGAATGAAGTCCCCTCGTGGTTTTCTCCATCGTTTACCGCACTGGAGACGGGGGGCAGACTCGGCGTAGCCCCTCTCACGCACTGCACCTTGTCTGGTGGGCAGGAAACCTTGGTTTACAGTTCCCTGAGATGTTGTTCGAGGGTGACGGACCATTCCCTAAAAGGACATGGGAGTGGAGCACCGCACAGCTCTTCTCGACAAAGACGGGGCAGCATTGCCTGGTTACTGGCGTGATGCGGCGCCTGTGGCCACACAGCAAGTCCTGGCCCCAGAAGAGAGCCTGGCAGGTGCCCTGGGCTGCAGCCTTTCTCTCCCGTGCCCTCCTCTGGACCCCACCCTGTGGCGCACAGTAGGAGCAGCATGGCCTTGGCAGCCTGACCGCCCTCACATTGTGACCCAAATACTGGGGTCTTAGAAAAGTTCCCGGAAGAGGCATATAACGGGGTTAACGTGCAGTGCTGGCATCCTTATGGGGAGCCAAGTTCAAGTCCCACTGCTCAGAATACGGCCTAAGTGCTTGGGTCTCTGCCACGCATGTAGGATACTTGGATTAAGATCCTGGCTTTGGCCTGGCCCAGCCCTGGCCATTGTGGCCATTTGGGGAGTGAACCAACAGATGGAAGACCTCTCTCTCCTTCTCTCTCTGTATCTCTGCCTTTCAAATAAATAAATAAATAGTAAAAAAAAAAAATGCATAGATGAAAAAACTATGTCTGGATTTCAAAATAATCCTTTGCACCAAAATAAACTTGTATTTTGATTTACTGTTCCCATGAACCTTTTGTAGTCTCCTATGTTAGACCTGAGACCTTGGGCAAACTAATGAGCTTTTCTTAGCCTCTGCTTCCTAGGGGAGAGTGACACCTGCCTCAGAGTTGTGAGGAAGACGTGAGGGCACACGGGACACATGCCCTGCGTGTAGTGCAGACTGGATAAACAGTTCTTCACGCAGCCAACATTCATGAAGAACCTACTATGAGCCAAACACCACATCACTGTGGAGAGCAGAGCCAGGCAGGTTCCCTGCCCTCCTGTAGCCTCCAGTCTGGAGCCAGAGCCGGGAATTAATTAACAACCATGAAATAATTACAAATAATAGGTGGGATAAGGCTGCGGGGTGGAGAAAGCGTATGTGTGGGAGGTTTGATGATTCTCAGAGGTCAGGGCCCTGCTCAAATCCACATTCTCCAGAACCTTCCCTGATTCCCCACAAGCAGGGATGATTTCATTGTTTTAAAAATTCTCAGCAGAAGTGCGCATCCTATGAATGACTTATCTTGGCCTATAGTGTTTAGTATTTTTGCTAATGGTGCACAGATCCTGTCTTGTGAGCAGAGTGTGTCATCTACCTCTTCATGTGTTTCCCAGTGTCCAAGTCTGTCTTTAAAAAAAAAAAGATTTATTTTATTTATTTGAAAGAGAGAGAGGTAGAGACAGAGAGGTCTTCCATCTGCTGGTTCACTCCCCAGTTGGCTGCAGCTGCACCAATCTGAAGCCAGGAGCCAGGAGCTTCCTCTGGTCTCCCACATGGGTGCAGTGGCCCAAGAACTTGGACCACCTTCTGCTATCCCAGGCCATAGCAGAGAGCTGGATCGGAAGAGGAGCAGCCAGGACTCGAACCGGCGCCCATGTGGGATGCCGGTGCTTCAGGCCAGGGCTTTAACCCATTGTGCCACAGCACCGGCCCCTCAAGTCTGTCTTAATGAATAAATTTCCTGAAAGCTGTCACAACTTACCAGAACTCGAGGCTTAATTTATGCCCTTTGTAAGCCAAGTTCCCACTGGTGTCCAAGGCCTTGGTCAGAACGTAATAGGTGATGTCCAGGAAAACAATGATTTGGCTGCCCAGAGATTGTATGATATCCACACCTCACAGAGTGTTTCACCCCAACACTGAAAGACCCAAGACCTGAGCCTGACTCACCTATTAGTTAGAAATACACAGATAAGAAATAGTGACACTGTAGAATTCCATTAGCCAAATCGCCAATCCCTGGATTTTGCAATTAGAATCTCAGTGTATGATTTGAAAGAAAAAAAATGGAGAAACAAAATCCTGTGTGCTGGAGCAGTATTCCCATCAGGTTTGTTATGTAAGGAAGGAAAAATACTTTTCTTTTTTTACAGCTTTTACTAATTTTCATTTTACTTGAAAGAGCGTCCATCTGCTGGTTCACTCCTCAGATCCAGGAGTCCAGAACTCAATCTGGGTCTCCCACATGGATAGCAGGGACCCCAGCACCTGAACCGTCACCTGCTGCCTCCCAGGGTGTGCATTAGCAGGAGGCTGAAGCCGGGAGCAAAGCCAGGACTCAAAGCCAGGGACTCCATCACGGGATGTGAGTGTCCCAAGCAGCGTCTTACCTGGAACACTCACTCTTCTGAGTTCATGGCTGAAGCCCCTATAGCGAAAGATTAACAAGAGCATAGCTTTCTAACTTAAGGAAGTCTTGCATGATACGAGAGGCTTTGTAAGGAAGTGGAGACCTGAAGAAACAAGGAAACCTGAGTGTTTCTGATAGCAGGCTTGAGAGAGAGTGGAAGAATGTGATAGGGCACCAAGGGTATGTTTTCATGGCGACACGCTGGGGAGACCAAACATGTCCTGCTTGCCCAGATTCTTCTCAGGGTCCCCAGGTCTTTGGAGATAAGGATGGAGATAAGGATGCTCCTTTCCTCCAGGCTCAGGGAAGCACCTCTCACACAGGGTCCCTGAGCTGTCAGGGGAGAAATGCAGCAGGGGACAGGCAGAGGAATCCTTCTGTTTCTGCCATTTCCTCACATTGCTTCGGCTCCTAACATGCAATATGGGCAGGCACTTGGTCCAGCAGTTACGATGCTCACTCCCATATCTGAGTGTCTGGGTGTGATGCTCTGGTTCCTGACTCCAGCTTCCTGCTAATGCACACCCTGGTTGGCAGCCACCATGGACCCAGAAGTTGGGTCCTTGCCACCCTGGTAGCAGATCTGAATTGAGTTCCTGCCTTCTGGTTTTGGATTAGCTCAGCCCCAGTTATTGCAGGCATTCAGGGAAAGAACCAGTAGATGGAAGATGCCTCTCTCTCAAGTAAGTAAATAAAAATTTAAATAAGTAAAGAAAATATATAAAGATATATTCAAAGTGTTGTATTTTAAGGTACCATGTCCTGAACCCCATCACTTAATAATAAGTCTCATCATGTAACTACCTTCCAGAAATCTGCTCAATAAGCCACTTTCATGATGCTGTAAGATTCGGTTCCACCTTAACTCTGGGAAGATATTTTTATATTTTTCAACATTAATATCTGCCCTGTTAGTTACATGTGCTTGTAGTAATTAATTACTACAATTATTCTTGACATCAGTGATGGTGATAACAACTATGAAAGCCCAAAGAATTTGAGGAAATGTTTTGCTATTAGATTTAATTACACAAGTATTTCATTTAAATTCACTTTATTTTGGTATCTTTGAATTTTTCAAAACATCCTGGTGCCAAAAGAAGGCAAGACTTATAAAAGCAAACAAATGAATCCACACACAACTGCAGGCCCTCTAGTAATTTACAAAAATAGAAACAATCCATCTGTACAGGGAAAAAGGCAGCAAATCAGCGTGTGGTCCAACAAGAGAAAGGCTATTCATCCTGGGCTCGGTTTTGGGAAACCTGGAATTAAAACTGTGGGTCTCTTCAGAAGCTGTGTGCTGATGGATAAAGAGAGCGAGGACGCACCTCTTGCTGTTTCCGTGTGTTTCGTCAGCTTGTTTTCCATGACTCATAATGGCTTCTTGGAAGAAAAAAACAAAACTCTCCTCTTGAATCTCTTGGGTCAAATCAATGCTCTTGAACTCTTGGTCACCCGCCAGTCATCGTTCCTACTACCGCCTTGTGCATCCTTAGTCGGGCCCCAACATTTACCTGTCTACTTATCCCAAACTAAAACTATAAACATTCTCCAAAAAGGTTCAGTCCAAATCGTCCAAGAGGATTCTGAAGATTAAAAAAAATTACAGACAAAATTTTGTGATGTATTACCTGAATGAGAATTGGTAGAAAACAATTTTAAAACCAGATATTAACATTCTGTTGTGTGGGAACACTGAGAAACTCCCCCAAGGCACTGCTGAAGGGCACTTGGCAGTCCTGTGCTGTGCAGGGAGCCCCTCCAGAACCCTCAGAAGACAGCTGATCAGAGATAAACTCCTCAGCCTGCAAGCTAGGAACCCACAGAATGCCTGGCTCAGTTTTGACGTCTGTCCAATGATGGCTTAAGTGTTCATGCATGTTTCTTTCGGCTGTGACATTCCAGGATTCTAGTAGAGAGACATGGAAGCTGGGCTGTACTTGCTCACTCAACAGATGCTGATTGAGCATCTATTAAGTGCAAAGCATCGTACCCTCTGAATGCCCTTCTCATTCCCCGGGAATATCTTTATCTTCTTTGACCCTCTTTACCAGAGTGGGGGTTTTTCTGCTGTGATTCCTCTATTGAGTGCCTTTTTGTTTGTTTCTTTTTGAAGATTTTTTTTATTTATTTGAAAGTCAGAGTTACACAGAGAGGGAGAAGCAGAGAGAGAAAGAGAGGTTTTCCATCTGCTAGTTCATTCCCCAAATGGCCACAATGGCCAGAGCTGGGCCGCTCTGAAGCCAGAAGCCAGGAGCTTCTTCTGGGTCTCCCACATGGGTGCAGAAGTCCAAGGATGTGGGCCATCTTCTATGCTTTCCCAGGCATATTACTCAGAAGTAGAGTAGCTGGGACTCAGATGGGTTCCCATATGGATGCGGGTGCCTCAGGCTGCGACTTTAACCCGCTATGCCACAATGCTGGCCCCTAGTATGTTGTTATTTTTGCCAGTGAGTAGAAGAGCTCCAGACACACAACAGGTGCCCAGGAAGCATCTGATGAGTGCCCAAGGGGAGCTCTTTGTGTGTTGAGCTGAGCAGCCCAAGAGTTATCAGACACGACATCCAGTAATATTTCCTGGACACAGTCATATGACTACGTTATATTTGACCTGGGACTTTCTGAGCCAACAGCAGATTCTGATTGCCCCAAGACGCCAGCAGTAAGCCCTGCCTCCCTTTCACCATGCACACAAAAGTGTGCTTGCTGCTGAGTTTCGGTTTGGCGTACCGAGCCCTCCACGCTGCACTGGTTCTTCCCTGCTTGGGTCCGGTTGCCAAGCTCCAGGAGTTGCCTCGCTGGGCTCCAGTGTCTCTGGCTCTGGTTGGCTTTGGCCACTGGGGGAGCCCTAACTCACCAGAGAAAGAGAGAGAGAGCAGCCACCTCCTTTTTCAGGGCATGCACAGGTTGTAGTACCTTTGACCAAAGGTCACAGCGCCTCCAGACAGCCCTCCCCAGCCAGCATCCTGTGTGTGTGTGGCGGAGGTGTGCCTGCCTCTGTCTCTGTCTCTCTGCTTCTCTGATCTTCAGGACAGCCGCAGTGCCTTGGTGTTTCTACTTCTGGGGTACTGCACTCTCCCTTTTGGTCCCACATCCTGGCTTAATAGACCCTTTCTTAAATGCTTCTCAAATTATTCAGTTTGAGGGGTGGGTGTTTGGAGCAGCCAGTAAGTTGATACTTGGGATACCCACATCCCATATCAGAGTGCCTGGGTTGAGTCCCAGCCATTCCACTTCTGATCCACGCTCCTGCTAATGTACATCCTTAGAGGCAGGGGCTGATGGCTTGGATCCCTGCCGTCCAGAGGGAGACACAGATGGAGGTCTGGGTTCCTGGATTTTCCTGGGCCCAGCCGTAACTGTTTGGGGCATTTAGGGAGTGAATAAGCAGATAGAAGGTCTCTCTCCCTCTGTTTCTCTGCCTTTCAAAAAAAAATGAAAATAATTTCTTAAAAAAGTTTATTCAGTCTGAGTAAAACATTGATTTCCTGCTGGAACCTTGACTTATAACCACTTAAATATTATGAAGGATAAACACTATAATCAGTGCCCACCAAGCACACCAGGGCACTACTAAATGCTCATCTTCCTCCTTTTCCCTGTTAGAACCTTTTTACCCTGTGTAATGGCTATGTTAAGTGCCTTTGACACAATAGCTAATTAATAAATATTTGTTGGATGAATGAAAACTATTTTTAAGACATTTCTGCCATGTTTTAGATTCATATACATGGAAATAATGTACATTAACCTAGATTATCATATGTTAAATTTAGGGAAGTTGATTTCAGTAATCTGGGGGGAACTCAGTTCTGTTTACAGATCTCATTCTCCCTTTTGTCTTGCTCTGACTGAATGATGGCTCCATCCTAGGAAGAAGAGTACCAAGGGGGTGAACTGACATCTCAAGTAGTTCAACAAATGAAGGGTTCATTTACTGATCCTTCCTAGATCTTGGAGAAAGTAATGACTTTAGTTCACGTCATCTAGTTCATACATCAACACTCTCCACCTCCCATACCCAGAAAGAAATGTAGTTAGAGTAGATGTTCAGCCCAGTGATTAAGATGCCTGGGAGCCCTTGGGTTTGACTCCCAGCTCCAGCTTCCCATCCATATAGAACCTGGTTATGGCTCAAGTAAGTGAGTTCCTGCCACCCACATGGGAGACCTGGATAGAGTTCCCAGCTCCCGACTCCCGGGGAGTGAACCAGTAGATGGGAGGCCTCTGTCTGTTGCTGTCTGTCCCTCCCTATCTCTCAATCTGTCAAATAAAACAATAATAAAAAAGAAACACAGTTTGGTATAAACCATACCTTTTCGAATCTGCACACATTTACAACTAGTCAAGTCAAATAGGCAATAAAGCAGTATCTCTACTCACCACGTCCAGTGCAGGTCTCCTGGATTCACTGCAGAAGTAACTTGCAGCTCTGGTATTGGGGGAAGCTCTTCCCTGACCTGAGTTAAGGGCAGCCTCTGTGCGGACTCTGTTTAAGAAGCAGAGCTGTTTTAGTCTACATTTAGTCAACCTCAATGCAAGCAGACACACAATATAGTCTAAGGCAGTAAATATAGTATGAGAACCCTGCCTGACATATCTGTATGTCCTTGGACAACTTCTACCACTCATTAAATTTCCTGCCTACAAGTCTGAAACTTTAACCCATTCCTTTCAGCTCTTTTTTTTTAATATTTATTTTATTTATGTGAAAGGCAGAGTTACAGACAGAGGGAGGGAGAAATAGAGAGATCTTCCATCCACTGGTTTACTTCCCAAATGGTCACAATGGCTGTCGCTCCCCCTCTTCGTGGAGGAACGACACAGGACCCTGTGCTGTTCTTTCGTCTGCTCGGCCCTCCCCGGGTTTGCTGCTGGTTCTTCCCGGGTTGGCTGCTGTCCCTTCCACCTCCGTGGAAGGGCAGTTCCCCCTGGCCACATTCCCCACTTCCGCAGGGGAGCGGCACACCGCCGGCCGGCTCTCTCGGGGGCTGCACAGGTGTTCCCCTTAGATGTTCCCCTTAGATGTTCCTGGTGCATGCCGTCCCTCTCCTCCTTTATAGTCCTCCTCTGCCAATCCCAACTCTGCTACCCACACGCCGAGTACGCTGCTCTCCTCCAATCAGGAGCAAGTCCTACAGTTTATTGGTTGAACTGGAGGCAGCTGTGCAGAAGCTGTTTACTTCTCTCCCAGCGCCATATTGTGGGAGAGCAGATGCATAGAATAAGTCTTAATTCCAGTAACTCAGTCTAGTCCGGATTGCTCCCCACAATGGCCAGGGCTGGACCAGGCTGAAGCCAGCAGCCAGGAGCTTCATTCAGGTCTTCCAGGGGCCCGAGCACTTGGGCCATCTTCTGCTGTTTTCCCAGGCACATTACCAGGGAGCTGGATGGGAAGTGGAAGAGCCGGGACTCAAACCGGCACCCATGTGGGATGCCTGCATCACTGGCAGCAGCTTTAACCCGCTGTACCACAATGCTGACCCTTTTCCTTTCATTCTTTCCCTCCACTTCTCACCCCATTTCTTGGGTATCAGAATAAGAGTGACCATAGGAAAAACTTTACAGCACCATATCAAGTAGCAAGGAATTAATTTTAGTTTGGAAACTAATTGCAAACATTTCATTCCATCACCTTGAGTTTGTTGTACCTGAGCAAGTGTAAACAAAGGAGCACCACACAGTGATAAAATCTGATGGTCCTTTATTGCCGGCAGTGGAGAGTGGGTTCATGCCCTAAAGAACTCTCGACCCTGAAGCCCAAAGCAACGGGCTTTATAAAGGCAAAAACTGCAAAAATCGGGAGGGGAATACATTGTTACTGGGGTCAAGTTGACCTAAAATCTATGGGAAACTAGTATCAATTATAATCTCGACAATACCAGTTACAATCTTAATAATTTTAATTGTAATCTTGACATTAATCCAGGTATTGGTTTTAATTATATGTAGGACATAGACAAATCACATTTTAATCATTAACTCAGGTGCAGCCTATCCACTTCCAAGCTTGAGTGATCATGCTAGGGGGTTTCTATGCTCTGCCAAGTGTGACGTACTGGACTGCTATTGTTCAACTATTTTAGATCATAGTTTCAGATCAGAGTCTCACGGTGTGGGGGGCACCTTCCCAGAATGGAGTCTCAGGTTCTCCAAAATGGAGTCCCTACTGTCAAGGTGTTACTTCAAGTTGAATTATGTCCCTCAAGGAAATATTAATGAGGCCTTTAACTTTAGGGGCAATTTTACCAAGAAGCAAAGCTAAAAGTTAGATGGATCCTAATGTGTCTTCCATCTCTTTGACTATGGGACTTTATAAAATTCTAATATTATTGTCAGCAGACTTCAAGGTAGGAGATGACGCCTCATGTCTGACATTGTGGCATCTCTTTCATTCCCCTGAGACCTAGCTCTTGCTTTTCTGCTTTTTTTTTGTACTTGAGTTCAACACAATATAAGTGGGTTTCGTTTCCCAGACATCTCTGGTTTTGATACAAAGTCCTGAATGTGAGCAGAAATGAGGCAACAGACAATTGCCAGAGAAAGAAGTTAGGAAGGGAGTTGCTTGTTAAGAAGACAAATCAACAGGAAGGAGGTGAGTGCATTTAAAGAATATGATGCTTCATGGGGCTGGCACCGTGGCTCACTTGGTTAATCTTCCGCCTGCAGTGCCGGCATCCCATATGGGCACCAGGTTCTAGTCTCGGTTGCTCCTCTTCCAGTCCAGCTCTCTGCTGTGGCCCAGGAGGGCAGTGGAGGATGGGCCAAGTGCTTGGGCCCCTGTACCCGCATGGGAGACCAGGAAGAAGCACCTGGCTCCTGGCTTTGGATCGGTGCAGCGCCAGATGTAGTGGCCATTTGGGGAGTGAACCAACAGAAGGAAGACCTTTCTCTCTGTCTCACTCTCTCACTGTCTGTAACTCTACCTGTCAAATAAATAAATAAATAATATGATGTTTCTTGTCCACCGAGATGATTGAACACTGGTAAGGTTGTACAAATAGAAATACTGCAAACATTTCTTTCAGAAGCTTTTATTTTTCTTTTTAAAGATTGATTGATTTATTTGAGTGGTAGAGTTAGAGCGAGATCTTCCATCTGCTGGTTCACTCCCCAAATGGCTGCAATGGCAGGAGCTGGGCCAGGCATAAACCAGGAGCCAGGAGCTTCTTTTGGGTCTCTCACGTGAATGCAGAGGCCCAAGCACTTAGACCACCTCCCACTGCTTTCCCAGGTGCATTAGCAGGGAGCCGAATCAGAAGTGGAGCAGCCAGGATTCAAACTGGCGCCCATGTGGGATGCTGGCACTGCTGATGTCAGCTTTACCTGCTAACACTACAATGCCAGCCCCCATAAACTTTTCTTTTCATTAGAAATTGAAAATGTGTGCTTCCCAAAGGATGGTGGTGGTAGGCAGAATTCTAATACAATCCCTAAGATTCCTGGGGAATCTGGTGTGTTCACTCTGTAGGACCCCACCCCCCTTGAGTAGGGCCAGGGCTGGGAATAGGATGGGTTCCCACTCCAGAGATTCAGTTACATGTTAAGGCAAAGATGAAGGGATTTTACAGGGGTCGTTAACACCACCACATCAGTCGACTGTGAGTTAATGAAAAAGGACGGTCTTGGGTAGGCCTGACTTGATGCGGTAAGAGCCTTTAAAAGAGGCTGGGGTGAGGTGGAGCAGGCGTTTGGCACAGTGGTTAAGTCACCACTTGAGATGCCCACATCCCATATCGGTTCGAGTCCCAGCTACCCCTCTATCATTCCAGTGCTCTGCTAATGTGCACCCAGGCAAGGCAAGTTGGTGATGGCCCACATGCTAGGGCCCCTGCACCCACATGGGAGACCCAGATGGAATTCTAGTCTCCTGGCTTCAGCTTGGCCCAGCCCTAGCTGTTGTAGCTATTCGGGGAGTGAACCAGTGGATGGAAGAATTTGTCTCTTCCTTTCTCTCTCTCACTCTGCCTTTCCCGTAAATAAATCTTATTTAAAGCAGTGTTTTGTTTTAAGCCTAGTGCTCTAGGTTGATTCTGCCACACATTAGCACTTCAGAATGGACTTGCCACGTGAATAATTGCTCAGACAATCCTTGATGAAGCTGCTTATAACCTCCAGAATTTGAGACTTGAAGACCATTCTTTTAAATGTTAAAATATCAAAAGAGTCTGTTCACGAGATTAAATAATTATCAAAGACATTGATCAGTTCCTTTGGTCAAAAAGTCAAATTGCTCATCATTTGCTGATTCATTCAGCTGGAGGATGTTTTATAGCATGCTACAACCATCATTTACTGGGGAAAGCTATTACCTGTCAAAATGATGGCTGCGCTAAGGCAACTCTCCAGTGGCACATTATCTCTGGTTTCTCCTACTACCCAAAGTCATGTAACTTATATGCTAATAGCAAAGCTTCTAAAATATTGATAAAAAGCCAAAAAGGTAGCATATATGTCATTTTAATAACTTCTTCAGAATAGCTAAAACAAGTGAAATTTTTTCTAGTTCTACACTGGGAAATAGAGTGTCTTTCAAATACTATTAATTCAGCAACACCAGTGAAGGCAACAGAAGCAGTCAGAAATATTTGAAAACATCACAGAAGTCTTCTCATGAATTTGTCAAATCTCTGAACCAAACATCTCTTGGACTTTTTTTCAGGGATCTCAGAAGAGCCTAAAAAATTTAAAAGCACCTCAGTGTGGATTTTTTGTCTTGACTGATTCTAGTGAACAAAATGGATTTTCAGCAGTAGAAACTTTGATTAAAAATGAAAGTCCATGCCTTGTGTTCTCAAAGTCCCTCTCACGCTGTCCACAACATCCAGGTTGCCTCTGGTGTTTCCTTTTTCATTTTTTTTTTTTTCAAGAATGCCACAGCTTTTCAAAGGGGCTTTGTATCTGTCACATTTGGTATCGAACCTCAATCCACTTTCCTAAAGTAATGTTTTATTCCCACCGAGTCACAGAAACCTGCAAGGTGTTTGCTTCTCTTTGTTCTAGATGATTCTCCTGTCAGAGACACGGTACGCCTTATACGATGAGGGCTCATCTGACCCTCCCTCACCCTCACTAGCCTCTCTCAGCTGCTAAGGGAATTTGCTCCATCAATTTTTTATATTCTTCTTTCGGAAACTACTTGTTCAACTCTATTTTACTTGGTTATTAAGTTGGAAAGCCAAAAGCAGCTCAAATTAAAACAAGCAGGAAGGCTGGCGCCATGGCTCACTAGGCTAATCCTCTGCTTGCAGCGCTGGCACACCAGGTTCTAGTCCCGGTCGGGGTGCCGGATTCTGTCCCGGTTGCCCCTCTTCCAGGCCAGCTCTCTGCTGTGGCCCAGGAGTGCAGTGGAGGATGGCCCAAGTACTTGGGCCCTGCACCTGCATGGGAGACCAGGAGAAGCACCTGGCTCCTGGCTTCGGATCAACACAGTGCGCCGGCTGCAGTGGCCATTGGAAGGTGAACCAACGGTAAAGGAAGACCTTTCTC